GAAATGTTTCATACGTATGCAAAGACGTGCCCACAGACTGCTCTGGGAGTCATTCCAGCCGAGCCGCGTGCAGGCCCCTCTCCCTGCAGCAAGAGAAACACCGGGAGGGACCATCACCGAAGACTGCACCTGCACCTGGGAGTGGGAAGTGAGCCACTCAACAGGAAAAAGACGCAAACTCGTAAGAAAAAGGACCAGGACTGGCCAGTACAAGACACGTGCGATGTTTATAAGGGAAATGCCCAAAGAGCATTTGCCCCCAGACTGACACACACACAAAGAGCCTAACGATGCACAGTCACAGGGGATGCACACAAGGGCGAAAAGAAACACGGAGGCGGAAGTGAACACACACACACCAGGAACGAAAAGGCTGCTCCCCAAGGAGCAGGCAGCCTTCCACGGGCTTCTGTCCCTGACGGGCAGCCTCTAAAGAGGTTTGTAGCAGGGATTTCAAAGCGATGCTGTCTGTGCGAATGAGAGTATGGCGCCCTCTCCTCGTCCCAGGGGCGGCACACAATCCGGGCTGACTGGGTACTCCGCCCGTGGCTGCAATCTGAAGCTGCAGGCAAGGCCGCCCTGCTCCGCCTGTGCAGGAGAGAAGAGTCCTGTGATCTCTGTCTCCGTCCCCATCTCTCCAGGATTTACGGGCCTGAGCGCACGCGGTTGGAACTTCATTCCAGGCTCAGCCGTGACAGGGACAAAACCAAGCCTGGGCTTGAGGAGCCGGAGAGAAGATAGCCAGGTCATCACATCCGTTAAGAAGCGTGAAGCCATCTCTGTTATAAAATGAGGCCAGAGATAAATTAAACAATTTAAAAGAATAAATGTTTCTAAACCGTGGGGTACCACAAGTTCAAGAAAGGCTTGCGTTGAGGCAATTACCTCATCACAATAAATAACAGTAAATCAATCCACACTAATTGCTTTTCTTGCCAGAGCTTAGAAGACTCTTCAGCGTTCTTGGATTATTGATTTTTTTGTAATCGCTTGTGCTGTCAAAAATGTAATATTTCCAAAGAATATACCGCTCACTGCTAGACAGACAGAATTTTAATTTAACGTAAGACAACCCAATTTCCATTTTTTCCCCCCGAAGTGCTTAAAAAATCTAAAATACCAGGAAGCTGAAGACAGCATTACAGGTTTTCAGCAGAGACATTTCAGCTCAAACAAGTTAATAAATGGCTGACCGACCCCCCTCCTCGTCTTGGACCTTCCTCCTCCTCACACACCTACACACACACGCACGCACGCACGCATGCACGCACGCACATACAAAAGTGCTTAAAGAAAAAAAAAGAGAGTAATCCCAGATTCTTCACTTTCATGCAAATTAAGAACTAAGAAGCAAAACAAACACCAGGAACAGAAACCCTACCCTTCACTTCGTGCCTTCTTGATCCCACGGGTTTGGCAATTGCCACTGAATGTGGGAAATGTTCCACCTCCTAAATTTATACTCGGTCAGCACCTTGCTCAAGTTCTGACAGCTACAACACAGAACTACAGGCTTATATAATCAAAGCAGTGAGGGGAAAAAAGGACAAGGGGGCAAAAATGTCCCTCGGCTTGGGATGACAATGAGAAAGGTGTAGAGTCCTGGACAAAGAGCAGCTTTGTCTACAAAGAGGCAGCTTCACTACTTACTACTGCATCACTCTTGAGTGTGTTACTGAGCTGGACTCAGGCCTCAGTTTCCACATCTGTGAAATGGGAATATCGTTCCTACACTATAGGAGTTCTGAGGCAAAATAAAGTAACTTTTATGTATAAATTTTATGTCTGTTACATAAAATACTGCTGTAATGCCCAGCACATGACTATCATAAAAGGGACCAGTCCACCTGCCTTCTTTATTCTGCCCCTAGATACTTAACTAAACATGCCAACTTCTGCTGGAAATTTCTACAGAAAGGTGAAACCATCTCCCAGGTGACAGAAGTTATAGTAGAAAGAAAGCCACGAAGCCATAAGCAATGCCAGATGACTCAGCATTCTGAAGGACGCTGAGAATTTCAGACTGAGGACTGATTTGGACTGTGTGTAAATGTGTGGTTCTGAACATTCTGCCTGTCTGGGATCATTTCCGTACTTTTACTCCCTTGCTCACGAAGTTTAGACTGGAATCCGGGAGTAAATTACTTCCATAGCCACATCCTGGCTGACCTCATCCAAACACCACTTTTGTTCAAGTTGGCATCTAAGCCCCTTATGGATTCTGTGGGCTCAGCTGCCTGGTGCCTTCTTCTGGCTTCAAATGGACACACTGGGAACACGTCTGGGACTCATCCCATTATCGGGAATGCAACATGGGACCACACTATCTCCCTCTGACTTGTGGATATCAGGGAACTTTCTGGTTGCTATTGGTTTTCAAAGCGATAGGTTTTATATAACACGATACTATATTAACGCCATTAAATCACGGCTTTTACAAAATGATGGAATTGGAATAATTAGCTACTCTTCAGGGCTCTCACGGCACTTAGTACATAACTTTCTCGTAGCGGTTACTACACTTGCTGCTGCTTTTTATACACATTGGGCTCTCCACAGACTTGTGAGCCTGGCAGACAGAGGCCTGGCTTCATCCTGACATCCCCTGCCCCTGGCATAGTGCCTGGCACAGAGTGGGTACCAGAAAAGGGTGTTAAAGAAATGTCTAAGGGGCGCCTGGGTGGCACAGTCGGTTAAGTGTCCAACTTCAGCTCGGGTCATGATCTCGTGGTTTGTGAGTTCGAGCCCCGCGTCGGGCTCTGTGCTGACAGCTCAGAGCCTGCAGCCTGCTTGGGATTCTGTGTCTCCCCCTCTCTCTGCCCCTGCTCTGCTCACGTCCTGTGTCTCTCTGTCTCTCAATAATAAATAAACGTTAAAAAAAAACTGTAAAAGAAATGAGTAAACATTTCAGGTTTTGCATCAAAAATTCAGATGAAGTTTAGTACTTTTTGTACTTCCTCTGTCTCTTCAAACTCTGTGTGTTAAATTGTGAGGTGATGTCCTCCTCAAGGAATCCTGAGGGAAAGCTCATCAGTGGTAACAATATCAGCCCTTGAAATCTTCCTTACTCCTCAAGAGTTTTGTGAAAGTACCTTAGTTATGCAGATTTCAATTTGACAATAGACCGGCCCTTCCTCAGGCTTTTCAGAACACAATTTTTTTAGGATTCAACTGGCTTTAGATTCTGATCAAATATCGATGAAGTTGAATAGTGTCTTTTCAAGATAACGATCTGGCTGGTTCCTGTTTAAAAGAACATACTGGTATAGGCCTGAAGGTCCTATGGCCGCAGGAGAGAGGGCCAGCCCTCACCTTCAGAAGACCAGGGCAGAGGAATGACCACAGCCATTTGTCAGACTACCCAAGGCCATGTTTCAGGAACGAGAGCGTCTAAAGTGAGAAGGAAGGGTCAGTAGTAAGTCACACTGAATGGTTTCCAAACTGTGCAGATAGTGAAAACTGCTGATTTCAGACTAATTTTTTTTTCTTTGCAGACGTGGCAAATTCATGCATCAAGTGTTTCACTTGCTTTTCAGAAGTCAGAAATCCTTGGTGCACTTGAAGCCACACAGAGCAAAGACCCAAAGGACGAGCTCCCTCCAGCACGGGGGCCCCCGTGACATGGCTCGGCGTAATGCAAAAAGTGGGTGGGCCCCACGTTCGGGGAAGTCAGGCTCCGTGAAAGCATGGACGGGTCTGGCAGTGCAGGGCAGCACCATCCAGGAGAGATGCTCACTCTTCCAGAAGGGGAAAGTATGAATGACTCTACTCGGGAAATGCACCTGCTAAAAGGTTCTCTGCGCTAAGTGAGGTACCCATGTGGCCAAGTGTGTTTTAAAGGAATGTACCAGGGGCGCCTGGGGGGCTCAGTCGGATGAGAATCCAACTTCAGGTCATGATCTCACAGTTCGTGGGTTCGAACCCCGCGTCGGGCTCTGTGCTGACAGCTCAGAACCTGGAGCCTGCTTCGGATTCTGTGTCTCCCTCCCTCTCTGCCCCTTCCCTGCCTCTCAAAAATAAATAAACATTAAAAAAAAAATGTTTTAAGAGTAAATAATAAACAAAGGAATGTACCGAATCAGGGGAATTAGGCAACTGGACACTGAATTAGGCAAACTGAATTAGGCAAACAGAACACATCACAGGCACCAAGAATCTTAAACGAAAGTATGATAAAGAGGACGACACTGTGCACATACGACAATCTTCAGATGAAAAGAGACAGGAAGAAAAGTGGGACGGAGTCTGGGCAGAAGTAACATTGGAGAACAGTGCCTCAAGCCCTCCAGGAAGCCTGCAACTAGTACTCACAACCTGTAAGTGACAAGAGGCACTGCCTCATCACCACGTTACCAGGAAGTTACAGGGGCGCCTGGGTGGCTCAGTCGGTTAAGCATCCGACTTTTGGTTTCTGTTCAGGTCATGACCTCACAGTTCATGAGTCTGAGCCCTGCATCATGCTCTGCACTGGGAGCACAGAGCCTGCTTGGGACTCTCTCTCTCTCTCTCTCTCTCTCTCTCTCTCTAAGTAAAGAAATTAAAAAAAAAAAAAAGAAGCTACAGAGTTTAGGTGTCTTGCCCAAGGCCACACAGGTAGTAAGTGGCAAGTCTGGATTCTAAGAGCGTCTGACCAGAAAGCCGTGATGCATAAAGTCAAACTAGAAAGCGCTTAAGCCGCAAGGCAGGGGCTTGTGCCGAAGCTGCCTGCCGTTGTTTCTCCCACTGACACGCTTCCAAGGGTCTGAGAAGCCCCGAGGTCTCCCCGGGCCTACTTGTGAGTGATGATGCGTGGAGAAAACCCTCGCCCGAAGCTGGCCGAGCTCCTGGTGACTGTGACTCCACTTAGATTACTCGTGACAGCAGCAGTCGGCCGCCTCACACACCCTCCTGGCTCCAGACTTCCAGCAAACTCCCACACATCCAGGGTGCGTGGGGGAGGGAGTCGACAGCCACGTTTACTGGGCACCTGCTCTGTGCACTGTCACAATCACACGGTGGGGCGTTCCTGCTTCCAGTCAGGGTGTCGAAAACCACAAGGGGCTGTTGCTCCCACGCAAACAACGTCAGACGGTCAGGGCACGAAGAGACGTAAGTGAACCAAATTCCAGAAGTGAGCAGACACTGCCTAGGAGAGAAGAGCCTGGTGGCTGCTCTCATCCCTGTGACCTACTCACCTCTTCCCTGTGAAATGGGGAGCTTCAGCAGGTACAACAAGGGAGCAGGGCAGGAGAGGAGGGAGAGAACCCACCCCAGCCCTCAGGGACTGGGTCTCACACATGGCAGTGACGACCCCTGGCCCAAAGCAGGCGAGGGGAGGGGAAGTCCAGCACCACCCTTACGAAAGTGCAAAAACCTTCACCAGGCACCCTGGCTCTCCCGAGGCTGGGCCGGGCAGAGAGGGGAGAGAGCTTCCCCAAGGAGAATGCTGGAGAGAAACAGGATCATCCCAGCACCTCGAAAAGCTGGCAGCCTGCCTGTAAAGCTGATAGGGAGCCCACATGGTTTGGAAAGCCAGCAGCTGTGCTGTGAAACAGAAAGCGAATCCTGGAGCCTCTTGCTGTGCTCAGATGCCCAGCCTTGCTGAAAGGAAAGACCCGATCCTTTTCCCAAAACATCTGATGACAGTGGAGAGCCGGCTCTGGAACTGCAACAGACTAGATTTATTCACTCCTGTGCTAGGAGAGACCCAAGACCACCCCCACGTTCCATGATTGGGAAGGACGGCTCACCAGGGCTCAGCATACAGATACTCACTGCTATCATTCCTTACAGCCAAAGGATGCAAAGCAAAATTTGCAAAGGGAAAAGGCACGCCGAGTCCAAGGGAAACCAGGCATAAGTTTCCAAGAGTCCTCTCCCAGCAGAGTCCCACCGGGCAGCCGAAATTCCTTTGCAACGAGCTGTCACAACACGTGTGAAATGGGACCAGCCCGGTAAGTTCATTAGAAGCTCCGTGCCAGGGTTTTATGGGGAACTAATCACATGGGCAACTCTCTGCCTAGCACATACCAACACTCCAGACTCCCAGAAGGAAGCAGATATTCGGTGTGCACGATGCCATCTGAACAGGTTAGGCACAGGAAACTTCTCCTGTCGATGAGGGTTATGGGAAACCTTCCTATGTCCAAGGTCCAGATGCCAGCCAAGGGCCAAGCTTGTGAGCACACCTTTCACAGGAAGCAGTGAGGTCTGCCTGTCAGCTATCTTCTGGACAGCCCCCCACACTACTGTCCTGGTGCGAAAAGAGGCCAATTATTACTTAGCTCAGTCTCTAATGCTGTTTCACAACCTATCATTCACTTGAAAATGATGAGACAGGCAAAGAAGAAAATGTGATCCCAAATCAAGAAAAAAAGTCAACAGAAACTGATGCACAGATAGCTCAGATACTTACATTTTTAGAAATAAATATTTAAATAATGATGACAAATGTGTTCAAGGCTCAAATGAAAAACATGTGTGACCAGTTGATAAATCTTAGCAGAGAGACAAAAACTGTAAGAACAAAATGAAAATGCTAGAAATTAAAAAAAAAAAAAAAAAAAAAAACAGAAATGAATAATTAGTTTGAGTATCTAGCAGATTTGACGTATCGGAAAAAGGATAAGTAATCTTGAAAAAAGATCAGTAGAGATCATATAAACTGAGGGGTACCTGGGTGGCTCATCGGTTAAGTATCCAACTCTTGATTTCGTCTCATGGTCATGAGATCAAGCCCCCAAACAAGCTCCATGCTAGGCATGGAGCCTGCTTAACATTCTCTCAATCTCTTAAAAAAAAAAAAAAGGGGGGGGCGCCTGGGTGGCTCAGTCGCTTGGGCGTCCGACATCAGCTCAGGTCACGATCTCACGGTCCGTGAGTTTGAGCCCCGCATCGGGCTCTGGGCTGATGGCCCGGAGCTTGGGACCTGCTTCTGGTTCTGTGTCTCCCTCTCTCTCCACCCCTCCCCCGTTCATGCTCTGTCTCTCTCTGTCTCAAAAATAAATAAATGTTAAAAAAAATTAAAAAAAAAAGAAGAAGAAGAAGAAGAAGAAGAAGAAGAAGAAGAAGAAGAAGACTGAAAGAAATCATATAAACTGAAACACAAAAAGAAGATTTAAAGAGAGAGAGAGATCATTTGAATGCTGTGACATATCTAACACGTTAATACATGATGTGTTATCATCCTGGAGGAGGGAAAACAAATAGGAGGTAATAATAAAGAGATAATGGCTGAGAAGAGCATGGTTTGAAACTGATGAACCATATCGATCCACAAGATCCAAACCTCAACAAACCCAAGCAAAGTAAACACTAGGAAGCCATACCTAAACTTACTGATGTTAATATGATGAAAACCAAAGGAAGAGAGGAAAGTCTTAAAACCAGAGAAAAAGGGGCCCATTAAATATGGGGAGAAATGCTAAGGATTAGAAATAGCGAAGGACAAAACATAACAGAACAACATCTTTAGAGTGATGTCCCCCTACAAATCTACAGTCATCAAAATATTCTTCAAAAATGAACACGAAGATTTTCTAAACAGACAAAAGCTGAGATCATTTAACTCCAGCAAAAAAGCATATAACAAACGCTATAAGTTCTCCAAACTAAAGGAAAGTTTATCAGATGGAAGTCTAGGCCTGCAAGAAAATATATAAAAAAAATAAAAAATAAAGAACACCAGGGGCGCCTGAGCGGCTCGCTCGGTTGAGCGTCTGACTTCAGCTCAGGTCATGATCTCACGGTTCATGAGTTCAAGCCCTGCGTCAGGCTCGGTGCTGACAGCTCAGAACCTGGAGCCTGCTTCAAATTCTGTGTCTCCCTCTCTCTCTCTCCCCTTGCCTTCCCCTTCCTCAAAAATAAATAAAAACATTAAAAAATTTAAAAGAACACCAGAAAACTAAATATATAAGAAAATATAAGACATTTTTAGAATTATATTTCCACATACATATTTTCAATATAACTGTATAAAGCAAAGAATGATAAAGCTGCATGGAATTTATAACAAGTAGGAGTAACATACATGACTACCAGAGCACAAAAGGTAGGAGGGAAATGATATGAATTATAGTGTTGCATGCTTCTTACACTGTTCATGAAATAGTGTATCTGGAGCTAGCTAGAATGTATTACAATATAGATGCATAATATGATGTGTTTAGCAACCGCTTAAAAGAAAATAAATTGTAGCTAAATACCAAGATGGCACTTTTCAAGTGAGATATGTCAAAACTTACATTAAATGTAAATGGACTAAGCACTCCAACAAAAGGGCAGGAATTGTCAGACTGGTCGTGTGTGTACACACACACACACACACACACACACACACACACAGAGGCACAAACCAAGATCCAGCTATATGCTATTTACAGGAATACACTTTAAATACGCAGATTCAAGGGCGCCTGGGTGGCGCAGTCGGTTAAGCGTCCGACTTCAGCCAGGTCACGATCTCGCGGTCCGTGAGTTCGAGCCCCGTGTCGGGCTCTGGGCTGATGGCTCAGAGCCTGGAGCCTGTTTCCGATTCTGTGTCTCCCTCTCTCTCTGCCCCTCGCCCGTTCATGCTCTGTCTCTCTCTGTCCCAAAAATAAATAAACGTTGAAAAAAAAATTAAAAAAAAAATAAATACGCAGATTCAGACAGGACGTTTGCTTCCGAGTTCAAAAGCCAGCGAGGTGGCTGGTGGATTATGGTCCATGGACCCCCTGCATCACAACCACATGAAAATGTACTGCATTCGAGGATGCCTGCTGGCCTCCAGGCTCAGTGAGACTATCTCCTGGGCTTGGGAAACCATTATCTGCACATTTGTCAAGATCTCCAGGTGGTCATGATACGGAGTAAAGAACTAATCTGGTGGGAAGGGTGGCCAGAGGCCAGAACTGGCCCGTTAACAAAAGAGCAAGCCTGAGATCCTCCAGCAACACCCGCCCGCCTTGTGCTGGCCGGCACAGGGCTGATGGGCCAGGTCTGCCCCAAGCCATGAGGACACAGCCATTCTGGTCTCCTCCTTCAAATCAACCCCTCCTTCTGAAAGTAGCCTTTGAAATAATGACATCACTGTTCCCATTTTCCAAATAAGGAGGCAGAGGCCCTAGAAGGCAAGGGATCAAAATCCCGAGAGGTCATCTAGTTAGTAAGTAGCGGCCATCAAGATTTTAATCCTTCTCTGCCACTCCAAAGCCACAAATAACAACAATGGAAATAAAATAACATCAACATCCAAAGATACATATGAAGAAAACATAATACCTAGAATGTTTAGAATAAATGACTTGTAAGCATAAATTTAAGCTCACTAAAAGGAAAATAAACCAAGATCAGGCTGGGTTTTGTTGTTGTTGTTGTTTGGCTTATAGTTGTTTTTTTTTTTTTTAGAAACTGGGGTCATTTTTAAAGACAGGGAAGGGGAAAAGATCCAACATTTCATCATCCACCATGCACCATACCCACTACTCATAAAACATATCACTTTTAGCATCTCCAACACCAGGGAAAGATATTACCGTCAGCATTTTTAAGACAACAGAATTATACAGAGAAGTTAAATTAAACAGACTGTAAGTGGCACAGCCAGGATTTGAACCTGAGTCTGTCTGGTTCTAAATCCTGGGTTTTTCTGCAATACCTCAGTGCTCTTGGAGGTTTTCAAGACCAAAACAGAATCTCAATGCACTAGCAAAGAGCAATCTGTCACCGCCTTCCCAAGACAATGTGAGGGTGACTTTGACATTGGGTCGTTTCTAAAAGATCATTTTTATTTAAAGGTTTGCTTCTTACTTAAATTTACTGAACAGGCAAAACATTCAGTTCACCCAGTTCAAACGTTACACACAGGGAAAAGTCCCACCTCAGCCTCGGCCTCCCATCTACCCAGTCCCAGCCCTCCCTACCCAACCGCACAGTTTCTTTATTTTGTGCATAAGCCTTAAGAAGCTTTAAGGTAGACATAAATAAATACAAATACATCTTTGCCCTTTCTTACCTCAAAGGCAGCATTACTATGTCGTTCTAAAGCTTGCTTTTTCTACTTTGTTATATAATATCTTTCCAGGGAAGGAAGTCAAGGGCCTCCTTATACTGTTTTTGTAGCTGTGCAGCATTCTGTTGTTTGGATGTGCCCCTGTTTATTTAAGTCTTACTCTATCCACAAACATTTCACTTATCTTCAATGAATAATACCACGTAGTCATCATTTCGGGACGTCAGCAAATGCATCCGTAAGATCAGATCACTTCTTACAAGAGGCAAGCCAACAGCTTATGCCACCTGCAGCTGGGACCCTTTATAGCCCCAATGGCAAGGCATGAGAAAGGCTCTCTCCTCACGGCCTTACCAACAGACTGTGCTATCAAACCTGGGAATGTATACTCATCTGATAAGCAAATCGATGGTATCTTAGTACGCTTTCACTTTATTATTATTTTTTTTTATTATCAGTGATGTTAGACACCTTATCACATACCCAAGAGCCATTTCACCTGTTCTCTTTACCTACTTTTCAACTGGGCTTCCTGGAGCAGTTTATTTTTAATATGAGACAATCACTGATACAAGTAAGACAAACATCATAAAGCCAATTATCATTAGAACTCCAGGTGCTCGGGGCACCTGGGTGGCTCAGTCGGTTGGGCGTCCGACTTCAGCTCAGGTCATGATCTCGCGGTCCGTGAGTTCGAGCCCCGCCTCGGGCTCCGTGCTGACAGCTCAGAGCCTGGAGCCTGCTTCAGAGTCTGTGTCTCCCTCTCTCTGTGTCCCTCCCCTGCTCGTTCTTTGTCACTCTCTGTCTCTCAAAAATAAATAAACATTAAAAAAAAATTAAAAAAAAAAAAGAACTCCAGGTGCTCAATCAATATTTTCCTTCTTGGGTTTGGAAAAATACTACCTTCAAGAACCATTCTCTGGCTTTGATAGCTAACAAGTGCACTGAGAAAAATCAGGAATA